CTGGTCGCTCGTAAAGACACCAGGAGACGGCCGGCGCCGTCCGGTCGTCGGTGGCCTTGTACGCCACGGCGTAGCGCTTCGTTGGCGGGCTCGTGCTCGTGTCGGTGTCGACGCTGCTGATGGTAGCGGGCCGCCAGTCCTCGAGGTCCTCGACCCAAACCTCACAGACCTTCTTTTGGCACGAGCTTGAACTACGTCATGGCGTCATGCATAGGAGCAAGCATCGAGTTATTGTGAGATGCGTACTTCGTGGAATTGGCCTTCGAGGTACACAGTACCGCGGACGACGTAGAACCCGGGGCTCTGCTCGGGGGCAGGGGCACGCGGCGGCGGCACTACGACGGGGGGCGGGACCACGGGGGGCGGGACCTGCGGCGGCGGCACGCGCGGAGGTGGCACCCGCGCCATTGGCGCAACAGTGTGAAGCGGTACGGCCAGGTACGGCTGCTGCATTGGCTGATGCGCCGGCGGGGCGAGCCGCATGGGTGTGTTTCGTGGCGGCGGCGGCGGTGCAACCATTCGTGGCGGTGGCGGTGGCGGCATGGTGCTGGGCGCTGCTAGCTGCGCGACTTGCCGGGGCAGCGGACCCACGGCAGGCAGGTCGATGGACGTCTCGGCCTGGGTGCGCGTCTTCCCGGCCATGTCCCGGGCAAACCGAGCCCGTGCATTCTACACGACCAAGTATCAAATAGTAGAAGATGCGGAGGCTCGACGTACGCGTTCGACTTGGTCGAGCTCGCGCTGCATGTTGGCCTCTTGGCGCTCGGCGATTTCGCGGTCGCGCGTGCGGATCTTGAACTGCGCTTGGGTCCGGTCCTTGTGGCGCTGCGTAGCCTCATGGTTGCGGATGCTCTAGACGCAGTAGGATGAGGCGCAAGGTCGCAGGCAGCGACGTACGACGCGGTCGCCTTGGACCCATAGATTGCAGTACGTGCAGTGGTGCTTGTCCTGGGACTGGGCCATTCCTTCGGACCTGTCGCCAAGCGCGTTGTGGTGGTCTGCCATATTTGATATCCAGATCCTTTCATAACTAATAATGCGTTAGAGAGAGGTATGTATTGATACAGGTAATCTAAAAGAACGCAGTTTTGCGTGTCATGTCAGTCAAGAATGCAGTGCACAGCAGCTACAAACTCTACGCCTAGCAGCACCCGTAGTCTCTGTCTTGCGCCCACTATGGAAGGAATAACGTGGAGAAGCGAGGGAGCAGCCCGGCTTGATAACTGAGTCAGGACGCTCCGTTAATCTATACAGTGACGCCGGATGCAAACGCCCATGTATGTGCATGATGATGCATGATGTATACGCATTATATAAACATCCAGCGGTCAACACGAGGTGTCGAACTCCACAAAGAGAAACGTTTGATGGCTCATGGTGCGGCTTCAAGTCTCTGGCATGCCCGTCCTCCGTGTCGTAGCGACAGAACGGTATTCTGGTCTCAGGAAAGAAGGTATGCTGTGTGAGAGTCTTGGCAAATGCAGTGCTTGAGCAGTTTGCGAAAACGGAGTGCGAGTCCCAGCCCTGCAGATATAGACTCCTTGTGCGTAATACACTGCAGCTGCTTGGATTGCGTCCCTCACTCGGCTTGTTGCGGCCGTCATCGCCTTTTGATCTGACTGGTGAAACGGCATATACGTGGCAGTCTCACATACAAACAACAAGCTCATATCGGCACCTGGGCGGTGAAAAATGGGATTTCATGCGATATTTGCAGCTCGTTCCAACCCAATGCAAGCTGGTGGTAAGGCTCCGTGGTCCACTTTTCAATACTACATCTATCGCCCGTGCCATGGACACTGCAGAGAGCGGCGACGCAACACGCCTCGCCCGCAAGCGTATCCGCGACCGCCGCGCCAAGCAGGCTGCTCGCCAGCGCTTCCTCGACGAGTGTAGTGCGCTGCAGTCGTCGATTGCGAGCCTCTCGGCATCGCTCGCGGCGCGGCAATCAGCCCGCCCCTCCTCCGCGCACCTTTTGAGCTGGCGCGAGGTTGCATCGTCGCTTGCTAAGGCCAAGGACAAGAGCGTTGCGGCGCAGCACGATCTTCGCCTTCGCGTGACGCAGCTAAGGCGTCTCTCACAGAGTCTCCAGACGTGGCTCTTGTCGCTGGCCGTCATTCCCAAGGTATAGTAGTCGTGCCGCCGCGGACCGTTGATATTAATGATGGTGATGACGTATTAGCCGCCAAATTCGCCTGCGTTTGCGTGGAAGGACGTGCACTTGTCGTCGGACGCGGCGTTGCGGTCGGTGGCGCTCGATTGGATCGCCAAACAAATGCTGCACGCGACGCCGCACCAAGTGCCCGACGCCCTCTTCCCAAGCGACCTCGAGGATGCCGTGCACGGCGTATGGAGTCCCGAAGGCGGCACAGTCTATGTACAGTTGGTCGTGGAGGCGACTCTCCTCGAGGCGGCGACGGCCGGATGGGCGTTTAGCCAAGCGTTGCCGACAATCATACACGAATCGCGCGGAGGCATTTCGGTAGCTCCTGACGGTTTCAGAAAATATGACGTGGCAGCCTCACGGATCGAATAGACGCTCCACCACTCTGCGACGTCGCATGGACGCTTCTGCTACAACCGCGAAGAATTTCCAAGCCGCGTCTCGAACGGCTTGTATACGTGCTTTCTCGAGCCCGATCGCGCCGTGACGCACTATCGGACGATTCGCTATGATGACGCGTCGCCCATCGCCGCGTCCGCCGCCATGTTGGAGGACGTTCAGGAATGGTTTGCCCTCCACAGCCAACCTACTCGTCCCAAGGAAATGTATATGTACCTTTAGGAATGTGATTCGGCGCGTGTCACCGACAAAATGCTTCATCCGATCCGCCCACGTGTACCAGCCGTACACCCACCACGCCTCCATGGTTTCGTATGCTGACGAGATCACACCGGGCTTGGCTGAGTCGTTGGCGCCGAAACAAGGGACCGAATTGGAAGATGCGATTGCGAACCGATTTGTGGCCGATACGTGCTCGATGATGGAGGGTATGGGTGGTATGTTTCGCAAGCTACTGCGCCATGTCCAAGCCAACCCGGACGCGTATCCACGGCCATACGAAGTAGACCGCGGAGCGCTTTGAGTTGGCGATTCTCGCCCCCTCGACACTAGGCTTTAAAACTCTACAACTCTACGTCCTGGACTGGTTTTCAGACAAAGAAAAATACAAGTCGGCCATTCAAGTCCCACGTCGCCTGGTGCTAAGATCGTCGTTGCAGCTCGACCCATAAACACACTAACACCAATACACCAGAGCTCAAATCTGACTCAGAACTAGACCCAACGGAATCCCAGAGGTTGCGTTTCACGCCGAAGACATGGTCAAGTTAGTAAACAGCGACGGCTTGTCTACGCCAGGTGTCTCCAGTGAGCCAATCGTATTGATTAGCACGCGCGACGTGATGGCCTAATCTTTCTGCCAACGACTTGGACAAGTTGGTCCACCGATTGGGACATTGGGACTCACCCATGATAACACGAGGTGCGGCACCTTATTGCATTTGTCTAATCTTGCGGCTTGTATACCGTGCACCAGGTGCGCCTCCACCCGCTATTGAATCCTTCTGAGCGATTAAAATGCATATATATGATATTTGAGCTGTATCTTTGTATTAACAAAAGAAGGTGAGCCATCGAATATGGATGTTTCATGCAAAACTTCCAAGCCATCTCCGTTCGCTCCATCCGTGCGATATGCGTGCACAGTGCCACTTACTCCTCGAGCCATAGCACATGCACAACCATTGCGTTATCGTTTCATGGAGGCGATGGACTTGTCGGCGCGCAAGCGACTGCGCGACCGTCGAGCGAAACAGGCGGCCCGCGTGCGCTTCTTGGCCGAGTACAACGCGCTGACGGACGCCGCTGCGGCCATGCGACGCACGCTGCGGGGGCTTCAGTCGGGCCACCGGCCTCGCAGTTGTCTCCTGCCATGGGAAGAGATTATGAAGGCACTCGCCGATGCAACGCGGGACAGCATCATGACGAATCGAACGTTGGCGGCCCACGTGGCCGACCACGGACACCGTGTCGAGCTCCTACGTGCATGGGTAGCGGCCCAATCTCGACCGCAAACGGTAAATTGGCACGGAATAATCACGTGCGCCGATGTCAGACTGACATGCTGTAGGTGGTCCTTGGCACGTCGACGCTGGTCACGTGGCCGCGCGTACGGCTGCCAGCGGCGCCCCGCACAGTCCGCGCGTTGGCGCTCGAGTGGCTCGCCGAGCGTATGCGGCACGCGACGGCCTATATGGTGTCCGAAGCGCGCTTCCCGACACCGGCTCGGACTTGGGTGCACACGACGCAGGACGTCCATGGCCGCATCACGGCCTTCCAGCACGTCGTAGCCGGGTCCCTCGACGACGCGGTGGCGGCGACCTGGACAACCCTCGTATCGATTGGTCCGCGCACGGTACAGGCTAGACAACGAAAGGATAGCGGGTGCGAAGGGGACTCGAACATAGATCGTGTCTACTTGCAAGAATTCGACGACCGAGGTGACGTACTCGATGCAGCAGGCTCGGACCCCCCAGCGCGATGTCCACGCATGCTTTGTCCAAGAAAGCAAGACCACCTTGGTACACTGTACCCTCCACGACTGCGACGAAAAGAACGCAGCAAGTGCGAGCCCCTACATTCAAGAATGGTATCCTCGTCGTGCAGGTCCGTGGTTTAAGAGGTCCGTGGATAGGATCGTGCTGACGTGTCTTTCGTCGACACACTGCGTCGTTCAAAGCGTGCAGTTGAGTCGCCCCGCCACGCGCCACGCGTCCATGCTTGCATTCGCAAGCCTCGAGCACCCGGACGTTTTGCCGACACTGCGGCGAGGCAGGAGCGAGCATCTCGAGGCCGAGCTCCAGCAGCGACTGGGCGTCAAGGCGACCACTGCGGCACAGGAACGGTACTTGCGCATCGAGTCGCTCTTGTGCGAGGCGCAAGCTCAGAGATGCCGATTGCTGCGACCGTGTGCCGACCCGTGAGGTGCATAGGCTCCGACAACGCGCTTCATAGACAGGTTTAGTTGAACACAGTCTAGTACGAAATACGCTGCTACTGGGAGTACAATTTACTTACATGATAGAAAGTGGTCTCGCGGAAGGTACTTCCACATGGGTATAGAAGAGCCTCGACAAGCGCGTTCTGGTTTTCAAAGCTGCTCTTGTTGATGCGATCGCTGCCAATCGATGCACCGCGCTCCGTGTTGAGAGACGATGTCGTGTAGTTAGTTGCCCGAACGACCGAGGCCGTCACCAGCATGCAAAATCACAGAGCCGCGAGCAATTCGACTTCTAGCTCATACCGCTAGATCGATTGCGTGTGACCATAGCAATGGGGGAATCCGAACACAAGTCTCAAGCGAATGTTTTGCCAAGCAGATCACAGAGACATTAACACCGTGACCATCTCCATGATCCGCTGTCATGCACACCAGCATGCACACGGTGACTTTGCCCGTGCTGTGGTTGCAAGATTCGGGGCGCCAAGACCTCAAAATGCGACGTCTGTCCGTCTGGCTTTCCGGAGAGCAATCAAGAACAAAGTGGAATCCCACGCCGGCAAACATGAAGCCGCGTCATTGCATCATCGCACCAGAGGGTCGGACAATAAATGTCCGACCGTGTGTCCCATGCGGTACATCATGTTATCTACGATACTGGTGTCCACGCTCCTGGCTTTGCTGTCTTGCCAAGGTCGCGCCAAGCGTTGGATTGAATTTGCCATATGCGGCGCGGTGCTCGCTCACCTGCGCTTGCACGAAACGACGCCAATACGTCAACTAAGGACCGTCGACGGCAGCATCGTGGCGATGAAGTACAAACACACGAAGCATAGTACACATGGACAACGTCGCCTCGTTCAAAACCTCCTGCAGCTTTTGTCTGGATGTCGTTGCGGCTGTCCCACAGCATGCCACGTCATCGTCTGGCGCGTGATGTTGTTTTCGTATACAGCCTTGCTGACGCAATGTTTATTTGCCATGTGGTAATCCCGCCGGCGCTTCGACCGGCTGGCGCCTGGGATTGCGTCCGCCGCGTCGCTTCATCGCGGCGACTATCTTGGAGTTGCAGCCATCTCGGAGCTCGAAGAGCATACCGGTACCGTGCTTGTCCACGCACGTCGGTTCGAATATCTATCTACCTGACGGTCGTACAACCGGTTGGGTGGCTTGACTCGGCCCTGAGGAAGGACTTGTTCTCGGTCGATTCCGGTATCAATCTTGTTTGGATTCTTCATCGTTTTGGCTGCATACCCTGCGAGCTAGTACACAAGGATCTCTTGCCTCTTGTGGATGCATCTGCGGGCAGGGAGAAGCACCCTCGCAACACCCACCAGGAGTTGCACTCTGGTCGCTGCAAGTCAAATGTGCGCAGTTTCAGCGCTGATGCTGGGGCGTCGCACCTCAGGCGGCATTGTCGCCGCTTGATCGATCACCAACTTTATAGACGTTCGAATTTGCGAACGCTTGAAAAACTCATCCCTGTGTCGAGTGCTCTGGCTCGGCCAGCTCGTACTGAACGAGTCTTCTCGCACCCACCTCTTGTGGTAGCAGCATCACTACGGGACGGTGCTCGTGTTTGGCTGGATACGTTGCATATCGAGATGGAAGACCCGAGGTGGGCGCGCTGCATGGTACGCCACAGCCTCGGTTGCCCCAGAGCTTGCGAAGTACCAGAGCAAAACGGCAAAGGAGGTATGGATCGTACCGCATAATAGTCCAGAGCTGTACGTAAATGACCACGAAACTCATGACAGAAACATGTTGCATCGAGACGGAGACGCAAGCGGTCTCCGTATATCGGTAAACGAGCGGCAAGGCTAGGCGAGTGGCAACCTCGTCAGCGTCGGACATGGTAGAATTCAGCGCAATTCCTTGTTTGCGCTACGCTTGGGTGCGTCGCAGCCATTGATTCGCATATGCGAACGTGGGTGGTTTCTTTCGCGGGCCGATCGGAAACAGGGGGTTTGAGCGAACGCTGGCACTGCGCTTGGCGGTATGTACGACGACGGATTTGGCACTGAGAAATGTGGGTGACGACGCTAACTCACGCAGGAGCCTTCAACGAGTGAGAGTAGACTCGCTCAGTCAACGTCGGTGAAATCGAAAGGTTACGCGACTGCTGGCAATCGCAGTGCCACGGATGACGAAGGTCGGTAGGATGTATTCGCATCACAAAACATCTCAACGCAGTCCACGTGCATACTACTTATCGGTCGCTGCGAGCCGTACCTATTTTGAAAGTGTTTCAAGCTGTCCGTTGTAATGGATCGAAACCATCGCAGTGTTGTCGTGGACGTCACTCATCGTTGATCATGGACGCGCTCTGCACCTGCGTGCTTTTCGGCGGCCATATGTCTGTCTTGGCCCGGAATCATCGTCTTGGCTCAACCTCAAATACCACACTTTGCAAAAATCACGATGGAGGAGCTGACACCGCAGCAGCTCGGGAAGCGGCTGCGGTACCGAAAGGCCAAGCGTGCCGCGCGCCTTCGGTACCTCACCGAGTGCAGCACGCTGCAAGAGAAAATTGAGGTCCTCGGTCGGAAGCTCCGGACGTTGCGCGCGTCCAGCGACTGCCTCCTCACGTGGAAGGACATTGCTCTGTCACTGGCCGCTGCGACCGAGGAGGGCCTTGCCGAGAAGGAGGCACTGCGCCGCCACCTCGCGCACCAATCCCGCCTCGCCCGCCACTTGCACGCGTGGGTAGCGTCCATGACCCCGGCCAAGGTCCGTTCGCCAATCGAATCGAATCGACAGCTCAAGCGTGGCTTTGTAGCTCCCCGCGCAGTCGGTGTTTGCGTGGCGCGACGTCCATCTCTCGACCGATGTCGAGCTCCGCACCGTGGGCTACCACTGGATTGGGCAGCAGATGCTTCACGCAACGCCGCTGCATGTTGTGGACAGCGATTTTCCTATCGACCAAGACGACTGGGTTGCCGCACAGTACACCGTCGAAGGCGGCCGCGTCTACTCGCAGCAATTCCTTTCCGGTACCATGATGGAGGTTGCGACGGCGGCGTGGGCCTTTAGCCAAGCGCTGCCAACGATCCTCAACGGCCAGCGCGGAGGTGTCTCGGTAATTTTCCGGGTAGTAGAAGGCCGAGCCTCACTTTACACTGTAGAACATCTACCACCACAAGGTGCGCGGCACCGAAATCTGCTACAACCGAGAAGCGTTCCCGTGGGCAACCAACAACGGTTTCTACACGTGCTTTATCCAAGACGACAGCGTCGTGATGCACTACCGCACGATCCGGTACGACGATGCTTACCCCGTTGGCGACAAGGGCTTCAAGATTGATATTCAAGAATGGTATATTGTCCAATCTGTCTCGAACCATATTCCAACGACCTGGATGCTAGGAACGTCATTCGAGCCGTGTCACCGACCAAGTGCGTCGTCCGATCGTCGACCGTGTGCCAGCCCTTCAAGACCTACGAGCAGTTTAAGGACTTTGTCCGGGACGAGCACCCGGACGTGCTCGCAATGGCCGATGGCGCACACGAGAGCGACCTGCAGCGCCTCGTCGCTGATAAATCGTGCCGCATCATCCGAGACATGCACGCACGCGTCCGCAAGATGCTGCGCAACGTCCAAGAGTCGCCCGACTCGTACCCGACACCCTATTGACTCTGCCACATTAATCCTGCCAACACATACCCTTCGAATCGACTTGCGTTAGCACTATTTTCCAAGAAAATAGCTCGCATCTCTGACCATCATGGAGCCCCAACTGAGCTAGCTGTCTCCGTTATCTAGTGCCCAGGACAGTGTTTTGGGTACAACACCCATAGAGGACGGTCTTGGGCGCAAGTATTGGAACCAGCTACAACCGCAACTCGGCAAGGACCACCTCATTCCACGACCAGAAGGAGGTCTTACTCTGCACTTGTAGACTTTAAGCGCAAGAGCCTTCACATTGCTCTAGCCATTATGACTAGACGTCTGCGCCAATCACTCAACACAACCATGTAGAAGGGCCACACTCGCCCACATGTCTTGTGCAACTTGAGCGCTTTTGTTCTTGACAGTTACAGCGGTTCTTGACCAAGCTGCACCTCCAACACTTGCTGCTGAACACTTAAGCATTGTGCCTCTTCCAAATGATGGCAGCCCTGCGGCACGACGCATGGTCCTTCTTGATTCTAGCTACTAGCTACGCCTCTGGGAGCATAGTGCACGGACTCGGAAAGCTCGGTGGGTCGGCTTGGACGAGCCGCAGCACCTTTTGCAGGCGAGTCTTCATATTGGCCATACGGCTACTTGCCATTTGCTCCAAGCGACGCGTAAGGGCTGCCTCCACGTCGTTGGCGCCTCACACAGAGGAGAGAACATCGGGCCAGATGACGCGCGCATAACTCTCCATCGAATCGTACGAAGCGTACGGTTGGTAGACATCGACGGCGCGGAGCACGCACTGCGTCGATGAGATGGCGCGAAGAACGTTCCGACGGCACTTCCTCTTGAACAAACTGTCAGACGCACGCCGATACCATTCTTGCACGTCATAGGCAAAGCTCGTTGTTGCGCCCGCTGGGTAGAGGGCATCGTCACGCACCGTCCGATAGTTTGCATCACGACGCGCTCCGACTCGAGAAAGCACGTGTAGAGCCCGTTGCTCTGGACCGCCGGAAACGCTTCGTGGTTGTAGCAAATTTCGCGCTTGGCTTCTTGCACATGAAACACATTCTACTCGAACAGAAGGACAATTGTTTCCAACTGACAGAAAACGGGTACATACGTGGACGCAGCCGTGGGTGGCATGCAAGATGGTGGATAGTGCTTGGCTAAAGGACCACGCGGCGGTGGCTACCTCGGCAAGCGACCCGTCTAACACAAATTGCGACAGCATGCGGCCCCCGATAAGGCTCCACTCGGCCCACACGAGTTCCTCGGGCGGCGCTGGAAACAACGCATTCACGACTTGATTGTCGGTCGCCTTCAGCATGTATTCGGCGAGCCAGAGGTACCTTGCACAACGCACATCGGGATGCCGTGGCAACTGAATGACGCGCCATGCAGCCAGCGCCGGCGACCGTGCCTAGTACCAAACAAAACACAGAGTCTCTCGTGGCATTCCTTGCTTCAAGTTGTACGGGTGCGCGGTGCAAAGATGCAACCCATGCGTACAAGGCTTGCGCCAGTCGATGGTGCTCGGCCGAGCAACGTCGGAGCTCGTGCATTCGTTTGTAGCTCTTGGTGGTCGCAGCGTGGAGTGAGGCAGCCACCTCCTGCCACGAAAGGAGACAGTGTTTGGGCGCCGCCGCCTTTTTCGTAACGAGCGCCGCGGTGAGGCTTGCGATCGACACTTGGAGCGCGGTCGTCTCGTCCTGCAGTCGTTGACGGGCGGCTTGCTTGGCGCGCCGATCCCGTAGTCGCTTCCGCTCGCGGCGAGGATCGATTTGTTGAGATGGCTTGGCCATGGTGTTAACGGTACGTATCGTCAAGTGCACAGTGAGGCGCAAAATTACCATCCGTCTTGTGCGTCCCACAACTGCGTCTTTGTATCCAATTCCGACCCTGGAGAATACACTGTACCACCACTATGAAGCGAACAGAAATGACAACGTTCGAAGCGATTGTAAACGAAGCTGGCACCTTGTACGTAAATGCGGAGCACCATAGATGACAAAATGTGCTGGTTACTTCTTCTTATATCCCCGTGTGTTTTGCTCTAGAAACTAAACGGCAGCGTCGTCGTCGACCACCCCATCTGTACCTTCAAAATCAGAGCACTGACTCGCCGTATTTGCGTTGAACGTTAAATTTACATCGTTGTTGCTATGCGGATCATGCACGGCAGGTGTAAGAGGTGACACGACGTGCGGATCGATTGTGTCGGTCGATTACGCAGCGGTATTGGGGTAATCTCGGATTTACCTCGACTCGGGGATCAACGGAGTGTATTTGTTGCTCGTGTCGGTTTCAAACAACCGACTGCGATGGCGACGAGTAGCCGTGCCTTCGGTCAAGTCGGCCCAGACGACGACGACGTCGACCTCGCATCGGACGACGAGAGCGGTGACTCGATTATTGACGAAGCCGACAATGACGCACCGTTGTCATCAGCGCGCCAAAGTGTCATCTCGGATGTCGACTCGATCGCTGCGATCACCGTGAATGCACTCCAAATCCCCGATACGTCGGCCGCCCGCCGTCGCCAGCAGCGGCAGCGAAAGAAGCGGACCTCGGCCCAAGTCCGGCGAATCATGGGGTGGTACCCCGCACCTGCAATTGATCGCACAATCGCGTCCGAGCAGGCCAAGGTCGAGTCCCTTCGTGACACCATAGCCCAGTCCAAATCCGCCGAGCTCCAGCAGCTCGTGGCTCGATTGAACGGACGTGCCAAGGTTAACGACGACGACTACGACTACGACGATGATGGCATTCGAGGACACATTGCTCGCGATACGGACGACGACCTGCCCGAAGCACGTCGTGGCTCGGGCCAAATCACAGTGGCATCGAGCAAGTTCAACCAAAACACGGACCAACTGCTCGAGCTGGCGCGCACGGTGACGGCATTAGAGCGCCACGTCACGGCGGTAGAGCGCGCATATCGTGGCGAGCACGTCTACTCGAGCACGTCCACGGTGCAATTCTCGCTGCCGAGTGCTGGCGCCTTCAACTTTAGCCCGGGCACTGCCGTGCCGACGTCGCTGGGGTCCGAGCCGATGACGCCGAATATGCCACCCGCCGAGGTGCACCGCGTGTTTTCAAGAAAACTCGTCGACCTCTACGAAAGCGTCGATGCGATCCACGTGCCCGACGACGACAAGACCGAGCGAGACCGCTTCCTGGAGCGTCACCGCCTTGCAGTAGGCGAGCTTTCTTTGCAAAATATTGCCGCTGAATCACGTGGCTAGATGCGCGGCCATGCCAGTGCACGGGTCCTCCAGGCCACGTTTCGCATGTACCGGTGTCGCCGCAAGTTTCTAAAATGGCGTCAACGGCGGCAACACAAGCTCGCGGTCGCTTTACACGCATGGCGACATCTGCGCCAACTCGAGGCCTTTGGCCGGCGGAATGCGTGTCGGCGCGTCTTTCGCGAGTGGGCAGACGAAGTCGAGTGCGCAATTAAGGTGCTTTTGTGTGTCTCCTTCACAGAAAAAAAGTTGTATACGATGTAGTTGCGCACGATTGAGCTCCAGCTACTGCAGCAGAGCGCGACCAAGGTCGCGACCGTCTCGAATCTGGTCAAGAATCTCTTCTTGACGACGAGTGACGATTTCACGACGCCGCCTTTGCATCGCAAGGGACCCGACTACAGCTACGTGTTTGTCAACGAAGCGTTTGCCGCCGTCCAAGACACGTCGAAAGACGCAGTGGCAGTGGGTCGCATTGCGGCGATCCGCGCCGAGATGCGCGCGGCGCGCGAGACCGTCGCCAAGCAGTTTGTGCATACGCTCTTTCTGAAATGGAAGGCGTACCATGAAAAGCACAAACGGACGAGCGTCAACGCGCAGCTGTCTCTCCGCCGCGCGATGCGCATCGCGTTCCTTCGCCGGCCCAAATGGCTCGGCGAGCGTGTGCAAGTTGTCTTTGAAATGTGGGCCCGCTACACGCTCTTCCAAAAACACAAGCACGCGTGCATGGCGGTGCCGCGGTTTCCGACGCCGTTGGCGCAATGGGACCTCTGGGTCGTCGAGTACAAGGCGCGGCAGCTGCGCAAGCTCGAGGCCCAGGCCCGGAGCCCGCTCATGTGGATGACGCGCTACTATCGCCTCTTGCGCGCCTACTGCAACTTGTCCAAATCGAAAAAAGCCGAGAACCGACGCGCGCGTGCGTACTGCAGTCGTCGGCACCTCGGCATCGTCTTTGCCAAGTGGCGCACGCTCACGCTACTCAACCTCGAGACGCGCGGGTCGATGAAGAAGGCGCTGTATGCGTGGCAGACGTACACGGCGATGCGCGCTGACTGCCGCGTGCCGAAGCGCAAAATGCAGGCGCGCACCCGTGACGCCCGCGTGCACAAGGCGTGGGAAGGCTGGAAAGAAACACAGTCGCGACGCAGCGTGTTGGCGCTGGACCGACGCATGCGCTTGCTGCAGCCAAGCATGTACCCACGCGCGCTCACGGCTCTCTACCACTGGGCAGACATCACGTCCCAAGAGACCAAAACGCATCTGTTTCATCGCTGGGCGAGCCGCGTGTACCGCCGAAAAGCCCTTGTCAAGCTATGGACCGAGGCGACGCGCCTGCATGGGCGCGTGCTTCTCCAAGCGACCTTTACTGCATGGCGCCGGCATTTAGCAGGGACATCCGCTGCCGATCAACATCTCAGCGCCGACCCCGTTGCGATCGATGCCCTCCTCGAGTCGGCACTGCCGTTTGTGTTTCTCTCGGACGCTTACGACAGCAGCCTTGGCGATGCGTCCTCGGAGGTTGGTCTCTCGGAGCTCCACGCGTTTCATGTGCTGGTCCGGAATGGGCAAGCGAGTGAGATCGAGGCCATGCTGCTCGAGCACCCGCGCTTGGCGTCTGCGCGCGAGCCCGTGCTTGGCAACAACGCACTGCACATCGCAGCGCAGGTACACTTTCTCGTCGTTGTCCGAGGGCATGAAAGGGACCCTGTAGGGTCCGCCAAAGCACATGGGGTGGACGGTGCACCGGCATGTGCTACGCCTCCTCGTGCAAGCAGGCGCGTCACCCTTTGCGCGCAATCTTGTCGGCGACAGTGCGCTCTCGTTGGTGTCGGACCCAGAGACGCGTCATTCGCTTCAGGCGACGGGCTATGGGTTCCATGCTCTGTCGCGCACCGCGTGCAATACATCCATGATCGATACCCGGGTACTCTGGCACTTGCTGCTGCGTCTTGGGATCGAGCTCCGCCGTGGCGACCGCGCGTTTGGAGACCCCGACGTCGGAACGTGGCACACGGTGGATATGATGCGCCCACTGCCATCGACAAAGTGGGACCCACCTCCCAACGAGCTTCGGCGCCGTCCGTTTCTCTGTATCCTCGCCAACAAGCTTTTGCAGCGGCCGGTGGTCGAGGCGGCCGAAGCCAACGCACCCGGCTTGCTCCAGGAGTGGTACCTGGCGAAGCACCTCCAACTGCTGCGCGACCGCGAGATTCTACCCGACAGCTGCACGTTCCAGTGTTTCAAGATGCCCGATTTCTGTGTCGACGTGCGTCCGAAGCACGCGATCATGCCGGCGTTCCACTCGTCGTTCTACTATGGGAGAGACCTCGCGCGAACAACCGAACACAACTTGCGCGTGGACTTGGTCGGACCGCTTCTTGGCAAGCGTCCGCCGCTGGACGCAATCGCCGACCAAGTCGAGCAGCTTGCAGTCCTTGCCCGCGCCGCCGAAGCGCAGCTGCTACAAGTCGAGCGCAACAACGCACCGCTTTTGCCACTGGATGGTGTCAAGTGCTACGGGTCCGTGACCGAGGTACTGGGAAGGCGTGGCTTTTGTATAGTGACAATTAGGATGGCGTAGGAGCTCCAAGGGGTCGATAGTCATCTTCTCGACGTGATGCTGTGCATCTACTTTAAGCTCCAGCAAGTGCGCATGCTCGACAAGGCCAGTGAGAAGCTACCATCGTTCATCGCGTTGCAATCTGCGATCCCCACCGAGACGGCGCTCCTCCAGCGCCTCGACCGTGCGGTCGACGACCATAGCCACGACGTCAAGAAAGCATGTACGGCCACCGCAGCGGCCAAGAAGAAACTGGCCTTGTACCAGAATGCGTACACATCGCTCTTCACAACAATCAAACAAGCACCCCTGTCGTCGGGTGACGCGGTCGAGAAGCTCATTGCAACGCGCATGCAAGTCGACGAAGCGCTTCTCGGTCTCGCGTCGGCCGCGCGGCAGCAAAAGAAACAAGAGACGGCGCAGGCGCGGCTCGAAACACTGCAGACCATCTACAGGGATCTACTCAACGAACAGCGCACATGGACAAAGGACGAGTTCGCCATCCTTGACGCAATGCTCGTCATCCAAACCGCCACCATGGACACATTGAGTGTGACCATTCATACCGTCGACGCCCGCCGACGGGCGCTACTGGACGAGATCACGCAGCGACGCCCCGACGACCGCCTTGCGCGCCGCAACATCAAGTCGACGGCCAAAAAACTTCTGCTGCAATTGCACGTGCTGCATCAAACGCATGCGGCGTGTGAGCTCTTGCTCGTGCACGATGTGGGGGGGCGGGTCCGCCCCCCCAGCGCACTGGCCCCCACCGCGGTGGTCACCACCAGCGTCGACGACGTCGCATCGGAGACGACCGTGAGCCCGCTCGTGTCCGAAGCACTGCAAAACCACTTGCCGGCGCGGGTGGTACCCCCCAATTGCGCAATCGCCGAGTCTGTCCTTGTGCAAGCGTACAAACGGAGCATGGTGCTGCTGTTTGCGGAAGAGCGTCGCATCATCGCCAACGACGTCGAGCGCCAAGATGCCGACGCGGCCAAGAAGCGCGAAGTGTTTTTCGAAGCCAGCCCGGTGGCGGCCAAGCCACACGAGACTGCGACGCCGACCGACGTCGACCGGATGGACCGCACGAGGCGCGAAACGCGATTGATCAACAACACGCCGACGTTCCGACGTCGCACGAAAGCCGAGGCGCCGCCCAACCGCAAGCGCCTCGAGCTTCAGAAGGCGCGTATCTCGATGGTGTCCCGCGCCGCTGCATCCGACGCCACATCATCGCATGACACGGAGAGCTACGACGCCGACAACGATAGGCTTCCTACTCGGTTGGGGACCTCGGTGGCGGATGCCTTGCTAACCGAGCCGCGCACGATCGAAGGCATGCAATACACGTTCGGCAACTTTGCATCGCGCGCATTCTACGACAAAGGGCCCTCGACGGCGGCGCTTGAGACGACAGCGACCGACCAAGTGGACGACGACGCGATCGAGTCCATTTGGCGGTCGCACGGAGAGATTGCGAGCTTGTCGGCAGCAACACTCGCGCTTAAAACTCGTGTTTTTGAGTCTCAAACCAACACCGTCAAGGCAACCGAAACAGTGGCGCACCCGACATTGGCGCGAAGCAACTCCAGGGTGGGGCGGCGCCGCTCGCTGGACACGAAGCACAGCTCGTCGCTCATCGAGGATGTTGCCGAGGCGCCCGAGGTCGAGTTAGAGGCGATGATCGACGTTGTCACACCAGATCGTGTCGAAGCGACAGTGACAATGACGCTGGTGGCGCCACCAAAGAGTCCAGAGTCGGCGAGATCGACAGCACCGGCGTCGCCGCCACCGGGTGTGCCGACGCCACGAGACGCGTCAAACGACGGCGAGCCAACGCCAGCCCTCTCGGCGCGATCGAATGCCACCGACAACGACAACAACGAGGAGGAGCCGCCGCGCACGCCCTTGATGCTACGCATTGGTATGCCCCCGATGACGCCGCCGGCGCCGCGGGTCTCGATTTCGGCCGAACTTGGACTGACGCCGAGCGATCTATTGGCCAACCTCGAGAGTTTTGCTTTCTTTAGCCAAACACTGCTGCACAAACAACAACCATTAAAGCCTGCAAGAAGTGCCGAGCGTCCGACGCTCGGCAGCAGCCTGAGCACACCCGAGCTCGACGTGTCCGCACCGCTCTCGAGCTCGAGCTCACGTACAGAGCCGCGCATGCGTCTGTTCCACGAGCTGGTTCAGCGGGACGACTCGATCGTCAAGCGACGGGACCCGAAGCGTCGGTGGCGCACGAAGCGTAGTGTTCCACGTCACTTGCCGGCGCTCGAGACATCGTTTAGCCTCGACGGACGAGCGTTTGCTGCCCTTCACCAGGCACCGACGTCGTTGCCTGCGCCAAGAAGCCCGCCACGCTGCATTCCGGCGCCATCCAGC